CTAACAAGGAAGTTGATAGAGTTATTTTTTTTCCAAGGTCACTTTTCACTTTAGATTAAATAGGAAAATATTTGTGGTCATCGGATTCCTAGAGGAGAGCTTGACCTGACCTGTTGGTCTTTCTTCTCTCTCCAAACAGGAAGTTCAATTCCTGTTCTGAGGGTCCTGAGTCAGAGTGGATTTGTGCCTAGAACCAAGTATAATGTTACCTGATTTGCAATTGGGCAGGCTAGTTAAAAGTTTGGATGAAATTATATCTTCTTCCGGTTTCTTTTTGGCTTTTGTGGCTCTGTCGGATTTATGTTGGATGGTTTGTCAACAGTGGATACCTTTGCCCTTGTAACCTGTAATGTGAGAATGGCCTGGGGGCATTGTGTGACATTGGGAAGGGGAGGTAGGGAGATGCCAATGGAATTCTTGGGACTAATGGATTTTAAATATTATATTGAAGTCACTGTCCTTGGGGTCCAAACTATGAGATTAGTTCATGACCACTGTGGGTAGAGGGGTGGGCGAATAGATGAGCCTGAAGGAGAATTGATGGTGGATTGTACTGGGTTGAAATCCTGATTCTTTGGAAGCTGACTGGGGTGGGAATGAAATTGGGTTTGGCTCTGCTTGTATTCCTTTCAGGCCCAGTAAGGCTCACCCCCTCTGTGCCATCTCTGGATGGCGGGCATTCAATCACTCGTTCATTTATTCTTCAGTCAATGGTGGAATTCATTCATTCAGTTACTTAATATTGATTGGGCATCTCCTATGAACCAGGCACTGTCCTAGGCACTGTGAACACACCAGGGAACATGGCAGATGAAACTCCTTGCCCTGGTGGAGTTTGTTGGTGGGAAGAAGTGGACAAAACCAAACCAAAACAATCAGTAAAACAGTATAAAGTTCTATAGGGAAAAACCAAGCTGGCAGGGTAGATAAGTGTCAGCAGGGGTGGGTGGTTTGCAATTTTGAATTGGTTGGTCAGGAAAATCTGGTCCTCACATTTGAGCAAAACTTGATGGAAGTGACAGGAGTAACAAGTGCTCGGAGTGAACTTGGAGCATGTGGGAAAGTCAAGCTTGGCAGGAAGGCCCTTGTGGAGGGGAGGAAGGAGGCCCAGGGTGGTGGGCCTGGGCAAGGCCTGTAAACCGTGACAGGGACTGTGGAGTTGGGGTCACTCTGAGTTATGAGGGAGCTGCTGGGGTGTTGAGCAGAAGAACAGTGTGATGTGTGACTTAGATTTTTAGCAGGATCACTCTGGCTTCTGTGAAAATAAAGCACTAATGGACCAAAAAAGGGCTTTCTGTATGCATATATGTGCACACTGAAAGGACAGTCATGTGTTTGGTGTCATGATATCTCCCAGGGTGTAAATAAGAGTGTGTTTTGTTATAAAAATGAACCAAGAGTTATAAGGAGGCCTTGGTCCTTGAGGGAGTTTTGTGTTCTGGAAATTGCTAGGACATGAGGATCTGAGGTTTCCTTCATCATTAGTGACAAAGTCACTACTTTTGGCTTAGGCAGGGTGAATTATGTGGTGTGTGTTGTTTTATGTGCAAAAACATGCCTTTTTCCAGAATGTAATTTTGGCCTAGATTGCTTTAGAAGGAGCTTGGAAGAATCATGCAGAATGATTAAGTCTTAATTATTTCCCAAAAGACAACCTCAGTTCCTTTCCATGCCCTCCCTCGTTCCATCCTTCCCTTCTCTGTCCTTCAGTGATGATCGGGGCTCAGGGGATTGCCCCCACAGACTGTGTATTTCTGAGCAGGGGTCATTAATTTTTCTTGGCTCAGCCGAGGAAACATTCCTGTCACCTCCTTTGGACATAGAGTACCACCTTGGTGTGAATGGGTTTGTTTTTTTTTTTTTTTTATTTTCCAAGTAACTTAGGCAGGGGAGTGTGAATGGGTTTTGACAACAGAACCTTGTTCTACGAGTCTGCATTCAAGAAGCTGGCAAAACTCTACTTCCTATTAATTTTCTTGTACAATTTGGACACCTAGGAAAACATCTGAAGAAAGTTTTCATTTCGTGGGCTAATAATAAATGCCATGCGGTGGTTTGCCAGTCTGTTGACCTCGGGTGTGACTTTTGTGTAGAAGGTGTGCAAAGAATGGTCACTACAGAAGTTCATTAGGAGCATGTAATGACTGTCGTTGAAAAACTTTTGAAACGTGGAAATCGATTTACACAGATAATTATTCTGAAGTTTTCACATCTCATTTTTATATTTGCTAAACACCCCCCACCAGTTTCTTTTCTTGGAAGTGAGGACGTTTGGAGATACGTTGTCTATTCTCCAGCACGCACATCTTCACGTTTCCCCACATTCTGTAGTTGTGCAGGTCTGTGGATCGGAGTCTCACTGGGTGTACACTCAGCCATCTTTTCAGTTTTAATTGGTCGTAAAATATTAGCAGGAAGGCAACATTATTTTACACTGAAGTGACTTTTTTGGGAAGTGGCAAATTAAATTTTATGGTAGCAGCTGTTCTGTGCAGAATTTGTCAAAAAGTTGATGGGAAGTGAAAGCTTGGAATAGTCTGATATAAATCCTTTGTTTAAAAAAGATGCAAGCTGTAAATAAATGAGGGGACTGAAATGTAGAAAAACATTTTTGTAAATATTTTATATATTTATTTTGTAAGTAATTTAAAACCTAGGCTTCATTATTTTGCATGTTAGCCTAAATCTTTCAAAGACAATTATTGCTCTGATTTTCCAACAAGAGCTTTTATTTAGCTTAGACATCAATAATGATATGCTTCAAATGAAACATAACTTTGTAGAGAAGCTCCCTAAGGGGGGAGTTCTGAGTGGGAAAAACACAAACTGTTTTTCCTCTACTTTTACCCCCAACAGTCAACACAGAAGACTTCTGTGACCAGATGCATGGAGGTTTCCAAGCAATCAGTTCTGCAGGGACACCAGCTGGGTGTCCTTTAATTCAATTCTGATACTTCCTACCTGAAGATGGTGTTAGATCCCACAGGGTGAGGGCTCCATCCCAGGGGACTGTACCCCCACTTCTGATACCAATTGCAAACCCCAGGTAGTTTGACCTGTGCTGCTGACCAATCGGCTATAAATTGAGGTTCCCACGACACCCTCCTTGGGTTCAATTACTTTGCTAGAGTGGCCCACAGGACTCAGGGAAACCTTTACTTATATTTACCAGTTTGTTATGAAAGATATTACAATACAAAGGATACAGATGAAGAGATGTGTAGGGCAAGGCATGGGGGAAGGTGCAGAGCTTCCATGCCCTTCTCAGATGCACCACCCTCCAGGTACCTCCATGAGCTCAGCTATTTGGAAGCTCTCCCTACCCCGTTCTCTTGGACCTTTTTGGAGACTTCACTGGATAGGCATGATTGAAGCATGGACAACCATGTGGAAATATGATTGGCCAAAAAGGGTTGGTTTAATATTAATAGACTGAGTGGGGAAACCCAGCAAGACCTGCCTATTTAGATTCTTCTTGGCCTCTCTGTGCAACGTTCTTTCCTCTTGGGTATGGGGCAGGGCCCATCCTGAAATGGGATGGTCTCCTGACCTGTAATCAGACCAGGCAGATCAGAAGATTTCTTTGTGGCCAGCTCCCTGACATCTGGGAGAAGAGTAGAGTTTAGTTTCTATGGCCTGTCTGGGGAGAAAAAGGAGCAAGTGAAAGGAGGGCCAGAGAAGGTCAGGGAGACAGATGCTGTTTCCTGGGGTCTAAAGTGCTCCGACATTATAGCAAATGCCATCTCTCACCTTTATCGCACCGAAGCTGTTCTGAAACTGCTTCAGCAGCTAAGGACAGAAGGCCAAATATAATAACTTTAACAAAAGATATGCTTATTGTTTTAGTCACTTAGGAAATAACAAGGGCTATGGGAGTTATGAACTAGGAACCATGGATGAAAATAAATCTCTCTCTCTCTCTCATAGTATCTCAGGAGTATGCTGGGTACATAATTTGAGAAGGAGCCAGGACCTTTGTGCATACTGTTCCCCTGCCTGGGAACCCCCTACCCGCTAGTAACTTTGCCTAGTTGGTACCTTTTCATCCTTTAGGGCAGCGGTCCCCAACCTTTTTGGCACCAGGGATGGGTTTCATGGAAGACAATTTTTCCATGGATAGGGGTTGGGGAGAGGTGGAGCTCAGGTGGTGAGGTGTGGCCCAGTTCCTAACAGGCCATGGACCCATACTGGGCTGTGGCCCCGGGGTTGGGGACTGCAGTTTTAGGGGATGCCTTTCTTGATTTGGCCAGTTCTCTGTGCTGTAAACTCTTATAGCCTTATATATATAATTCCTCATCTTAGCACTTATTTTATATTCATTTGAGTAATTCTTTATCCTATGAATGCCATGAAATAATGGAGAGTTTCATTATTATTTTTTGTTACCGTATCTTCACTGCCTAAAAGCAATGCCTGGCACCTTCATGAATATTTGTTCCATGGAGGAGTGAGTTTGGGTGGCTACAGGAAAGCCAGTACAAAGATTCACTCCTGTGGCCTCAAGTTCAAATGCCCGCAGGGCGGGGCAGCCAAGGTAGATGAATGAAATAGACTGGGAGGAACGGAAGTGGTTCTGGGCAGCCACATAGAATGTTCTGGACGGGTCCCTGCTTAGGGACCATCTTCTTACCAGCGGGTGGAGGCTTGGACTGTGGTAAATTTGAGTGGCCCCCTGGGAAGATGGGGCCTGGGAGACTTATACTACTCTTCATTTAAGTCTTTCTGGAATCCACAGAAATGGTGCCCAGGAGAGGAAATCACGAGGTAAAAGTCAGCTTGCCGTGGGCTGGGGATTGAGTGGGAAGTGAGAGAGGAAAGCAGTGAATGGAGACTCCTCATTTGAGAAGGTTTAAAAAAAAAAAGAAAAGAGAAGGATAGAGAATCAGGGTCAGAGGAAAATACCAGAAAGATTCCAGGGGAAGGAAGGATTGACTCGGCTAAAGAGGATCCCCAGTTTCTGAGGCGGAAGTGGTGAGTGGATGGCGAGACCCGGTCAGGAAACGGGGAGGGAGGGACGTGCGTGGGGTTGGGGTTTTGTTTGGGGAAGATGTGTGTAGGATGTTGTCCTAAAATGCATCTCCATTTCCACTTTTATCACAGATTTGATTAGCAAGTGCAGAAGAAATATCCTTGGGAAGATTGAGGCAAAGCTTCCCTAGGGTTTTTCTTTCTGGCTTGAAAATGCACCAGAATCCTCTGACACTTCTGAAATGTAGAGTAGAGGGAAACATCCAGAACTATGCCAGGAAGGATCTGTGGACCCGTGGAAATACAGAAGCCATGGCTTTTTTGTGTAGAATGCTGCGTTGACCTTATAAGACTGTAAGGCTTGTCCTTAGAGCTTTGGTAGCAGTTCAGTCAGATAACTGTGTCCAAAGTGGTTCTGAAAATACTGTATCAGCTATAAACTAGCATAAAATATCACTAATCTACAGAAATTCAGTAATATCTTTGGGATGTGGTAGTACTGTAAGTTTGTGGGTATTTTGCAGTTAAAAATATATATTATTTTTTACTCTACCCAGCCATTGCAACTCTCAGTGAATTTCACTCTAAGGTCTTTTCAGAGCATCTCGTAATCAGTCAACAAATCTATTTCAAATGCGGTTGTTACTAAGCAACGGTTGCTAAGAGCTTCTGTAATTAAGATGAAAGTTCCAAGGTAACAATGCCCAAACACAGCACCAATTTCACCGTTTTCTGATAATGCAGGAGTAGGATGGATACAAGTGAAAGAAGATTCTATTCTACTGTGAGCACGACATCTGAAATTTCTGAATAGATTGGCTGTCCTCTCGCTCATAGGAGACAGAGTATTTTTATAAATCAGACAGTCATTTTTTTTCCTGGTGTGCCTGAAATGTATATTCCAGACACGAACAGGTAGAATATGAGTTGGAGGCAGGTTTAACGCATGGCTGTGCTTCGATGGGGCCACATGGGGATGCCAGTTGTGCCATCTGGCACACGCTGCTGTAAGGGGTGCGGACCGAGTATGCTCCACGTGAAATAAACTTCCTTTGCAGTTATGACTGACCTAGATTAAGTGGTGATGCAGGCCTGTTCTGTACTTTGCTTAACAATGCACAGTTTCTTTTTCTTTTGGTGATTTGTAAAGGAAGACTCAGATGCATTTTTTTCCTTTTCATCGTGGCTGGCTCATCGCAGGCACTCAACAAATGTTCTTCTTTGCTTTCCAGCTCCATTTTGTTCCAGGGGCAAGGAGGGGGTTAGGGTTTCCATGACAACCTGTTGCTGAATGACCTCCTTTCAGACCTGTTGTTAGATGCCTGATGGCTGAGCTGCAGTCTAGAGAGCCCAGCCTCACCTAATCGAGGGCTTCCTGGGAAAGAGAGATTCAGTCAGTCCAAAGCAGCAAGCAGATACCAGACACCTGGTACTTCCCTGCAGGCTTTGCTCGCAGGTTAGCCTTGTAGCAAGCAGGGTGGCTGTCAGCCACCAAGAGCTCTGACCAGTGGATCTCATTCTGTTTTGGCTCCATACCTTAGTGTTGGGTCTTGGGCAGATCATAACCACCTTGAGCTTTAATTTCTTCATCTGTATACTGTGAACAGTAACACCTGCTTGGCTTATCTAATAGGGTTGTCATAGCAATTAGCTGAACTAGAATATGTAAAGTGCCATGAAAGGTATAGATGTATTCATTTATTCAACAGATACTGAGTGGTTCCTATGTGTCAGGTGCTGTTCTATTAATAGTTTCATAATATAGTCCATGTTGGAACAAATAAATAGAGCTATTTAATTCTTTCTAATGACAGTTTAATATTTCCACAGTAAACATGGTACCTAATTTATTTAACCATCCCCCAATTAATGGCCATTTAAGTTAACAGTGCTGTATTGAACATGTTTATGTGTATATCATGGCATATGTGGGAGTATTTCTCTAGGAGAGCGCTGAAAGAGATTTTGCCAGTTCAGAAGGCACACACATTTTTTTAATTTTAATTTTTTTATTTCAGTATAATATGGGATACAAATGTTTAGGTTATGTATATTGCCCTTGCCCCGCCCGAGTCAGAGCTTCAAGTGTCCCCCAGACAGAGGCACACACATTTAATGCTTTCTTGGATACTACCACAGTCCCCTGCTGAAAGACCATAGCAACTTACTTTCCCAAACAACATGTGTGAGAACACTCATCTTTCCCACCTTTGCTAATGTAATCTTTCAAATTTTACCAATCTGTTGGATGAAAAATAGCATCTAACAGTTGTGTTATTTTCAATTCCTTGCTCTATTCGTGAGCATCTTTGAATAGTTTTGGCCATTTTTATGTCTTCTGCAATTAGCCTTTTTATCTAACCCTTTTATTTGCTTGGATATATATTTTATTTTATTTTTTTAATTTGAAGGGGATTTTTTTTTTTTTTTTGAGACAGAGTGTCACTCTGTTGCCCAGACTAGAGTGCTGTGGCATCAGCCTGGCTCACAGCAACCTCAGACTCCTGGGCTCAAGCGATCCTTCTGCCTCAGCCTCCCAAGTAGCTGGGACTACAGGCATGTGCCACCATGCCTGGCTAATTTTTTGTATATATTTTTGGTTGTCCAGCTAATTTCTTTCTATTTTTAGTAGAGATGGTGTCTCGCTCTTGCTCAGGCTGGTCTCGAACTCCTGAGCTCAAATGATCCTCCCTCGGTCTCCCTGAGTGCTAGGATTACAGGCGTGAGCTACCACGCCCAGCCTCGAAGGGGCTTTTATATATTTAAACATGATTGTATACTTTTTTCATTTCATTTTATTATTATTTCTATTGAGATGGTATTTTACAGAGTTGGTGAGAGGCACATGAAGTTAAACAGCTAGTAGCAGTCACTTGGCCTTACAGAATGGGACTTGGGTTGGAAGCTGGTTCTTTCCGGTCCGGTCTGCTTTTATCTGAGCAGAGAGGTTTATTTGGGAGGCTCAGCAGGCCAGGGAGGGTGGGTTTCCCTAGTGGGGCAATTTGGAGGTTTGGATGCTGCACCAGGGAGGCCACTGGGTCACAGAAGGGGAACAACACGGGCTTCTCCTGGTGCCAGTGCCCCTTCCAGCCCAACCTGCAGGAATCACCTAAAACTGGGGAAAAGAGAAGGTAAGTGAGGGCTATGATGGTGTCTTTGTTCCTTAGGGGGTAGATACAAAGGCCAAGGATAAGGACAGTGACAGCCCCTGGAGGGCGTCACCTTTCTGCCTTTTAAGAGCACAGCCATGCTGCAGTCAGTCGCCTCTGCACTGCAGAGAGTGGAGAATGTTACTAGTCTTAATAATCGCAAGAGGCACAGAACAAAGATCCTCTGCTTATTGGAGTTTCCTGTGGTATCTTATTTGAATAATCAGAATTTCTTTTTTCCTGATTGAATAATTATTTTTCCTTTTCTGTGCAAAAAGGTAAAACTAGATGTAAAGTTTTTCTGGAGTGGTCTTATTTTAGGGTTTTTTCTTATCCTGATCTGGCTTGTGATGTATGTTTGATTAGGCTGAGTCCTAGGATAGCAATTCTAGATTTATTTATTTATATATTTATTTTTTAAAGGCTGGAAGCCACTTTAGGGGCTTTCTAATTCAAGTCACTTATTGAACACATCTGGGGATGTGTGGTGGGTTGCCAAGGTTACCCAGTTATTCCAGATCAAGAACTAGAATTTGGGGCTCTTCAACTATATTAGGACTTCTGATTGTACCATTTTACATCTTTCTGGCACTTGTTTGCTTCCCCACTCCATTTTCCTCAAGATTTCTTACCTTGAAAATGAGGCTGGTTATACTTATTTCATTGAACTATTGTGCTAAGTAGTTGATAAAAGACTTTTCACATTTGAATTTTAAACTCCCTTTGTATGTGTTTTTGAAAGGTTCTCTTTCCCAGCCTCATGTTATGCATATAACATGTGTTTAGTGATACTTGTTGAATTAGTGAAAGAATAAGGTAATTGTTGTGTATTTCTGTGCTTGAATTACACACACACATATACAGACATGTACACACACTCTTAGTCTAAAATTCTATGTAGCAGAATTCTATATAATTCTGTCTCCTGTTTTCAGGCATAGGAATATTTGAAATATTCGGGATAAATAATTTTCTCCATGATTTTAGAGAATTTAGAGAAATGGGTACCACATTTTCCCTTAGCTGTTCATTTTGATTTTTAATAACTGAACCTGTTGGAAAATTTGTTTGCTTGCTTTCATCTGTTGCTGTTGACTCCTCTTTTCTCTTGTTCTGTCCTGAGTGCTCTCTTATATGCCCCGAATGCATGGCAGTTTTGCCATGGGGTGAGCGGTAAGGCAGTCACGAACCTCTGGGCTGTTGTCACATGATGCTGTCAGATGAAAGTCAACCTGGAGTCTGCGTGGCTGCAGAACACAGGTGGCTCCGGCCATCCTAATAGATGAGGCTGGTACACCCCAGGGTGAAGACGTTGACATTTCTAGACTCTTTGGTTGGTGTGTCTGATTATGGTCTCAGAGAAGGGCCAGGCATAAATCTGTCAGATATCTGTGCATGAGGAACACCACCAATAAGGAGTGCTTAGGAATGATGGGTTATATTACCAAGGAGAATGCTAAGAGAATTATTGTCCCTGCAAGTTTTCCCACTGAATAAGGTCTTTTGTCCTGTTACAAAGAGTGACTCAAAATCCTTTAGTCCTGGCCTGGCTGGAGTTAATATGTAGATACCTTGGTTGGGGCCTGCCTTCTACCAAAAAGCATTGGTATTATGTCAGGAGGACGATTTTCCGGAATTAGAGTTCTGGGGAAGGTATTGGAGTAATAATCTTGAACTTCAGGTACTCTATTGAGTAAAACCTTGGGGCATGTCTTTGCTGTGAACATCCCACGTACTTGCTATCAGAGCCCTCATGCAAGGGAATATAATTGACTTTGGGTTCAAAGTAGAGGAAAGCATAACATAGTTTAAACAATACTTTATCTAATTTTCTTTTATTAAAAATGGGAAGTTTCCCTTTTGTCCATTTTGTTCAATCCATTCTGTTCTCTTAGATCTACTTTTCCAGCTTTTAACCATCTTTCTGTGTTTCTTTGTCAATGGGTGATTTTGGTGTCCAAGGGTGGCTTTTAAAATAAAAAAAACCTGTCACTGTAAATATTAGTTTTTTCTTCTAACTTTTATTTTAGTATAATACTCTATAAACAGAAAAGTTGCAAGAATATCGTAAAGAATTCCTGTATACCTTTCACTCAGATACCCCAAATGATGACATTTGGATGCATTTGTTTTATCCTTTTCTTGTTCTTTCTCTGTATACCTTTCTTTTCTGAGATAAGTGCAGATAAAGTATCTCTTTGCCCTTAAATAATTCACTGTGTATTTCCTAAAAGCAAATGCATAGCCTAGGAAACATAGCCAGACCTCGTCTCTACAAAAAAAAAAATTAAAAAATTAGCCAGGCATGGCGGTACATGCCTGTAGTCTCAGCTCCTTGGGAGGCTGAGGCAGGAGGATCATTTGAGCCCAGGAGTTTGAGGCTGCAGTGAGCTATGATCAAGCCACTGCACTCTAGCCTGGGCGACACAGTGAGGCCTTGTCTCCTAAACAACAACAAAACCCAAAGGCATTCTCTTACATAAATACCATATAATTTTCAAAATTGGGAAATTAACATTGATACTATAGTATTATCTAATTTGCATATCTCATTCATATTTCACTAAATGAAACAATAATATCATTTTTAAAGAAAAATCTCAGAACAGGTAGTTTATTCCAATGTCATCTTCCTTAGTTGTCTTTAATCTGGAATAGGTTTTTCTTTTCCTTCATGATGGTGACATTTTTGAAGAGTATAGGCCAGTTCTTTTGTACAATGCCCATTATTTTACATTTATTTGCTGTCTCCTTATGATTAGATTC